CCAGAACTGACAGCCCAGGGACCGGAAGTGATGCAATCTGCATCGCTCCCGGTCCCATAGAACGGGGAGGGGATCGATGAACGGAAGTTCGTCGACCTCCTCCCCAGCTCCCCGCGGACACAAAGATCGCCGGTCCCGGGCCCGTAGGAGGGGCAACGGAGCCCGGGAAGCACGGCGAGGGTGTCCGGCGGGGGGGGGGCGGCCCCTTCGGTACGCAGAAGCGATCTGGCGACAGGTAAGTCGCCAGGATCGCTTCTGTTGTAAAGCTGACAGTCGGCTCTACAAGTTTAAACAGTTTAAACAGCCCCGATGCTGGCGACGTACACTGTACGTCGTCAGTCACGAAGGGGTTAAAGAAGAACTATGGGGTCAGGGCTTTTCATATACCGAGACGCCACAGCGGAGCAGATCCCGACATCAATGTCGAGATCTGGCCAGCTGCGTGAGTGACAGCTGGCTCTGCCTATCTAGAGGCAGAGACAGCTGTACCCTTCCCCGTCTGTTCCGCCAGTCAGCGCTGGTGGATCGGAGCAGGGAGGGGGGAATCCAGCCCCTCCCCTGTCATGGCAGAGAGCCTTGACAGGATCGAGAAGTGAGCGAACACCGGCATGTGTTCGCTCACTTCCCGATCTACTGAGCCGACCTGTGACAGTCTCATTGTCACAGGTCGGCTAGAACTATGAGGTGAGTGAAAAGCACTCACCTCATCGTTCTCCTTTAATAGGAAATGCAGAGTCTTGTCACAAATAAGTTACTTTTGTGAAGGATTTTACAGATCAAATTTTACCAGGGAAGAGTACATTGATAGCACAGCATGTAACCTGGCACTAGAGAGCCTATACCTCCTCCATTATGGGTAGAGTTGTTCTAGAACTGCTCTGAGCACAATAAAACCCTTCAGGCTGAACTGAAGAAATGCAGTTAAAACAGTATTTTGTGGCACCTCCAACAGCTATTCAGATGATTTTTCTCCTGTGCAAGACTGTAGCCAAATCATGCCAGATGAAAGATGGAGGGTCAGCTTATATATTCTTAGGGTGCTGGACGAAACATGGGGCTCTCACCTTGATACCTGTTCAATGCTATACAGGTCCAGAGCCCTGGTCTATCTACGGTGTAGGACGTCCCTTAAGACACCCCCCCTCCACCCTGTAGTGGAGTATACCCACCTGGTGGGGAAGATCAGATGGCACGTTTTTCTCTTACCTCTGCTACATTAATGGTAAGGACCACATATTGGTTAAAGCAAGCCATGGCTTTGCACATCAGTTTTTTTAGAACAGTCACTCAGGTCCCTAAAGGGTTAAATCTGGAGCATTGCTGCGACTTTTGTGTTGTAGTATTGACTTTTTCAGCTTTCATTTTAAAATCTGGAGCACTTTTCTGTTCTCTGGCAGCTTAAGGGCTGCTTTCTCCTCCCAGTACTGTACTGCACATGCGCCCGCTATTTCTTCTCTCAAGGTTGCATATTATTTGCACATCCTATTACTTTTACCTATCGACACTACCTGCATTTTGATGTGGGCATGTAACACTATATATTGCCTCTCTTTCGGGCTGTAAACTGCACCTCGAGTCTTCACAAAGGTGCTGACCCCAGATTTGGCTTTTCTTCCGTCTCACGCTATCCCCATAGTGGACAGCAGCTGGCACAAGCCTTATCGTCCAACTTTTATCGGATGATACACATCTTCCGGTGCTTTGGCTGGCCCCCTTCATTAGATATTAAATGGCTGGCAGGTTGCCAAGTCACTGGGACAGGGGGAAGCTTGTAAAAGTTTGCTTAGCATATGCAATAATTTGAATGTCCATATTCTTGCCACAGTTTAAATCTGAACCTTTATTTAAAACCATGAAGTTTTTATTTTACCTCTTTCTTCTCCTTGGTCATCCCCTTCCATATTTCTCCAGCTTTCTTAGATAAATCAATAATGCTAATCCCGGGATTATCACCCTTTATCTTCTCACGACTAGCGTTTAACCACAACATATATGCGGACATTGGGCGTTTTGGCGCTGCTGGGTCTTTGACTTTCTTACCCTTGAGAAGACAAAAAATTCTTATTAGGAGGCCTATTAAAGAAGCCAGGCTGAGCACCCAGTATGCAACATTCACACAGTTACCTCTGGTTTCTTGCGTGGCTTTTTCTCCTTACTAGGTTTGGATTCCTTGGGTTTCTTTGCTGGCTTTTCTTGATCCTCATCACTGTCAGCACTTGATGAGCTTGCAGAAGGGTTACTGTCAAACCTACAACAACAGAAGGAAGAATGGCCCAGGAAAAATGGTGGGAAGTTAGCAATAAAGGACTCATACAATCTAACCATTGAATAGAAGGTACAGGATATGTGCAGAAAGTTTAAATAACCTACTCTTCTGCAACTTCTTCTTCTTCTTCTCCTGGGTTAAATGATTCATCTGTAACAAAGAACATAACTTTAAAGATTAGATTATTTTTTCAGGAAATTCAAAACTATGCTAGGAAGCCGAGATCATCCAATAAACTGCATGAAAGTTTGAGTACAGTGTAGTTACTGGACAAGGAGGGATTAAACTGCAGGAGATAGGAAGACCAGCCATATATGTATAACAGCCAAACACCAGTCAAGAAAACTTAAAATATAAAGAGCAAAACTAAACACATAAAAGTGCCTTAACAAACTGAGAGTATCAGTGCTGAGTAGGGAGTAAATGTTGAGTGAACAGAGGAGCGTTGGTCTTGTACTGGGGCAAACAGGAATAACTTCAAGGTTTTCTTAAGTCAACTTAATCCTCGTAAAAGGACACGGAACATAAAAAAAGAAAATACTCTTAATGCAGAAACTTCTGTTAAGAGATTCTCAAGTAGAGACTCCAGGGAAAAATTCAGCAGTCAGTGGTTCTAACCGAAGACTTCAGGGCAAAATAACACCATTCATTTTCATTCACTTCCCCCACTGCACTATTTTTTGTTCTCCCACAGCTCCATTCAGCTGCCAGTGTTCAGCACTGAAGTCTGACACTGTATGACAGCAATGATGCTTGGTGATTGGCCAGGGCTTTTACATGGAGAGTCCTTTGCTCCATGTTCATTCTGACTGGAGCCATTATTAGATTGTGAGCTAGAGACTATTCCTCATGTGTCTTAAATGTGACAAGTTGCACCACAAAGAGGGAGCAACAAGTACAGGACTATGCTTTGGATGGTCATCAACCAGCTGCTGGCAACAGGAGATGTTCAGGTGGCTGGAGGTGACTAGGTCACTAAGTGGCCAGCTAAGATGAACTGAGGATACTCCATGTATGACAGACAAACTGGGAGGGAATAATTTCATCAAAAAACACAGAACAAAAATGGGAATGTTTCAAAACAATTGTTCGCAACCATATGGCAAAATATATTCCAGTAAGCAATAAGTTTAAAAGGCTAAAAGTAAAACCTATGTGGCTCACATCCAATGTTAAAAAAGCCATAAAGAAGAAAAGGGCGTTTTAAAAAATATATAGAAATGAAGGAACACTGCCGTGATTTGAAAGCTACAAAGAATATAACATAATATGTAAAAAGGAAATAAAGCTCGCAAAGATTCAAAACAAACGACATGTTGCAAAAGAGTGCAAGATTAACCCCCAAAAATTATTTAAATATATTAATAGTAAAAAAAAAAATATCAGGTTTAAGGCCCCTTAAAAGATAACTTGGAGTTGGTAACTGGGGACAAATAGAAGGCAAGTGTATTAAAAACTATCTTCAGCTCTGTGCACACCAAGGAACAGGATGAAACTCAAGTCCATAATGGGGATAGCAGTGCCATAGCCGCTACTGAACCAGAATGGCTGACTATTGATATGGTCCAGAAACAGACAAAATTAAGGTGAACAAAGCACCTGGACCAGATGGCTTAGGCCCACGTGTCCTCAGAGAATTGAGCTGTATAATTTCAAAGCCAGTGTATCTAGTTTTTAGAGATTCTCTAATGACTGGCTTGGTACCAATGGATTGGCGCAAGGCCAATGTGTTATGTCTATATTTAAAAAGGGATCAAAGTCTTTCCCAATTAATTACAGACCTGTAAGCTTAACTTCAATTGATGGGGGATGCTTGAAAGTTTGATCAAGGATCACATGCAATTGTTTTTGCTTGAAAATAATATCAGCCAGTGGTGCCGAACCTTGGCACTCCAGCTGTGCCAAAACTACAAATCTCAACATGCATCTGCCTCTGGGAGTTATGTCGTAGCTATCGGAGCTTTGCAATGCCTCATGGGACTTGTAGTTCCAAAACAGCTGGAGTGCCAAGGTTCGCCACCACCGACATAAGCGATAGTCAGCACGGATTCACAAAAGACAGAAGTTGTCAAACAAACTTACTTTCTTTTTATGAGGAAGTGAGTAATAAATTGGACAGAGGAATGGCTGTGGCTATAGTATATTTGGACTATGCAAAAGCATATGGCACAGTTCCCCACATGCGGCTAAGTTAAGATCAGTAGGTATAGAGTATTAAATCTGTAATTGGATTGAAAACTGGGTTAAAGACCATATTCAGAGAGTGGTGATCAATGATTCATACTCTGAATGGTCCGAGGTTGTTAGTGCTGTCCCCCCAAGGTTCAGTGTTGGACCCCTTACTGTTTAATCTATTTATAAATGACAGAGTTGGGGATGAAAAGTACTATTTCTGTGTTTGCAGAGGACACCAAATTATGTAGTAGAATACTCCTTACAGGATGTCTCCAACTAACAAACCGATCTGAATGCACTGTGTGATTGGGCATCTATTTGGCAAATGATTATTATACAGGATTTAAAATAGCGCCAACAGTCTGCGCAGCGCTTTACAATATAAGGAAGACATTACAATCACAATACAATTCAAGACAAGATGGTAAGGAGGGCCTTGTCGTCCCTGAAGGCTTACAATCTAATGAGGTTAATGTTGATAAATGTAAAGTTATGCACTTGGGGACTAAAAACATGCATGCTTCATACACTCTAGGGGGAGTATGTTTGGGGGAGTCCATGATGGAGAAAGATCTGGGTGTTCTGGTAGATGATAGACTTAATAATAGCATGCAATGTCAAGCCGCAGTTTCTAAAGCACGCAAAATACTTTCTTGTATTAAAAAGGGGTCTAGACTCCAGGGATAGAGACATAATCCTGCCCTTGTATGAAGCATTATTAAGACCTCATCTGGAATATGCAGTTCAGTTTTGGGCACCAGTTCACATAAAGGAGGTTGTGGAACTGGAGAAAGTGCAGTGAAGGGCAACTAAACCCATAAGAGGCATGGAGGAGCTCAGCTATGAGGAAAGATTAGCTGCACTGAATTTGTTCTCTCTGGAGAAGAGGTGATTAAGGGGGGACATGGTCACCATGTATAAATACATAAATGGTCCATATAGTGAGCCTGGTGCCAAATTATTCACTTTAAGGTCACTGCAAAGGACAAGGGGTCACTCTTTGTCTCTGGAGGAAAAGAGGTTTGACCTGACTAGATCAGTTAAATCTGGATGTATTCCGAAATGCACAGATTACTACTGGATATGGAGCTCTTATATGTATATTAAGCACCAGAGATTGTTGATCAAGGGAATATCCAATTGCCTTATGGGATCAGGAAGGATTTTTTTCCCCTGTTGGAGCAATTTAAACCATGCTTTATAGGGGTTTTTGTTGCCTTCCTATGGATCAACAGGGGGTAATTGTGGGCATAGCATTCCGTTTAGGGTTTTTTTTTTTTTAATATCTCCTTATAGGTTGAATTCGATGGACGTGTCTTTTTTTCAACCTGACTAACTATGTAACATGCAAACAGGAACAGTAGGACAGTGTTTCAATGCCAATTGGTAGGAAAGAGTGCACGACACTCCACCCTACAGATGTCAGTGCTCGGTCCCCCAGCATTGACCCCTTCCATGGTAAACCAATATTTTGTCATTAGTGCCCAGCAGTTCTGGTAACGAGGTAGCTTCCAGTGCTCAGCCCACATAGCCTATTCACAAAGTGTTTGAGACAGGATACTACCCGAGACTGTGCCTCAGCTCTAGACCCGGAAAGTACTCCGAGCCCAACAGTACACCTAATTTTTGTAAATCGCCACAATGGAGAGCACAGTGCCCAAACGTCAAATACTAGGCTACTCCCGCAATCTTCCAATACTGAGAATCTGGGTATGGCCTTCAAAGCTTTTGCTAAAAAAAACTCAGATCTGGATGGCTGCATATAGAGACCAGATTGTAGCAGAATTTTGACAGAAGACAAAGTAATCTTGATTGAAGTGGAGAGGAAAAAAAAAAAGCTAGAAAAAAAGTGAGACTTTTCTAAGCAGAGCAGGAAAAGACGGCAAATTAGCCCTTGGCACAGTAGATCCAGACGGTCTGGCGGGGCCCCGTGGTGTGTCTGCTAATAGTCTTGCAAGGTCAGCCTACTAGATCAACCTGGGCCAGTCTGGGGTAATAAGGATCACCATAATGCCTTCCAACTTGATTTTGCAGAAAAGGCGAAAAAGACGTTTCAGGGGTGGAAAGACATAGACCAAAGTGAAGTAATGCCTTGGAGCCACCAGAGCATCCAGTGGGTCCCTGCACCTAGATACAAACCTGTCCATCAGAAGGTCAACATATCTCACCTCCCCCACCTGTGACACTAGTGCTATAAAAACCTCAAAGTGAAAAGACCGCTTTCCTGGGCCAGACACTGCCGGCTGAGGGAAACCTAACTGCCAACTTTCTAACCATGGGATATACATGGCAGACACTTGAAAGTTCTGCCAAGGACAGAATTGCATCTACCTCCCTTGCCAGGGACTCTGAGAACTTCTGGTTCCTCCCTGATGGTTGACATATGCCATCGCATTGTTCGGTTAACCCAGAATGAGATGAGTTTTAAGCAGGATAGTCCATGGCTGCAAATCTAGTCAAATCATCTGAAGTTCTAGAATGTTTAAAATCGGGAGACACGACTCCTCCGACGATCAGGACCCATACACCAACAAGGCGTCCAAAACTCCTCCCCAGCCTGGCAAGCTGGCATCTGTCATAAGGATCTTCCAGAAGAAATAAAGAAAGGAAGGACTTCCCTGATTTCAGAGACACCAGATAAGGGGCAACCTGGTCCTCCGCGCCAAAGGATTTGGGGTGTCCAGGAACTAGACTGACTTGTCCCAAGATGACAGAATGTTGTGTTGTAGAAGTCCAAAGTGAAACCAGGAAAGTGGAACTGCCTCATTGGAGGCACCATCAGGTCCAAGACTCTTATGCAAATGTGGGACGACTCCTAGACTGGAGAGCTTGAATCTGAGTTCTGAAAGTTTGACATTCCTCCTGTGGAAATAACACACTGGCCTAAGCTGTATCCAGAACTAGACCTAGGTTCTCCAAACAGTGAGTCGGTCCCAGCATTTCTGAAGATTTAGGATCCATCTGAACCATTCTAACGTATGAACAGTCAAAGTGGCATCTGACAAAGCCCATGCCAACTGTCCCCTCAATAGAAGGTCAAATCATAAAATACATTCAAGTACCTTAAAAGGAGAACTATGAGGCGAGTGATTTTCACTCAACCTCATAGTTCGAGGCGACGTGTGACAATGAAACTGACACACGTCGCCTCAATAGATCGGGAAGTGAGCGAACGCATACTGTCGCTTGCTCACTTCTCGATCATGTCCCTGCAGAGAGCCGTGACTGTCACTCACGGTTCCCCCTCCCCGATCCTCCAGTGCTAACTGGCGGAACGTGCAGGGGGCGGGTACAGCTGGCTCTGCCTCTCACGCAGCTGGCTGGATCTCGACAGTAATGTCGGGATCCGTCCCGGCTGCAGCTGTCGCGGTATACCGCGAGCTGTAGCTCGCAATATACTGAGCTTCTGGTCACGGGAGGACGCTAGTTTATGTCCTCCTGTGACCCTTACAGGAACTATGGGGAAAAACACATACCCCATAGTTCTCTTTTAACCATTAATAAAAATTTAGCTTATTTGTGTATCACTCGGTAGATCTCAAATCACCTCTGAATTTGTGCTGACACTACCCTTCCTCCTGGAGGAGCCACCACTCCTAGCACGATTCCATGATGGACTACAAACTCAACACAAATTAGCAGGGCTTGAAAAATTTGGCGTTGTCTCACCAGTCAGTCAAAAATTTCACCAGTCAGCATATAGTAAACTGCACACAATATTGTAGTCCATCACAGGAGCAAGCTTGGAGTGGTGGCTACTCTAAAACACGCACAGGAGCAGATGAATCTGGAGCAGTTGCCTATGGCAACCAGTCAGCGTCTCTCTTCAGTTTGTTCAGTTAAGGTTTGAAAATGAAAGGTGGATGCTGATTGGTTGCCATGGGCAACTGCTCCAGATTCTGTCTGCTCCAATTCCCCTCACAGGGAGCATGGGAAACAAAAGTAATCACCCTTCCAAAGGAGGGACAGTGTCAGCACACATTTAGAGATGATTTGAGGATCTACAGCTGAGTGATACACAAATAAGCTACATTTTTGTTAATAGGGTACTTGAATGTATATTTAAGATTTAACTCCTGAGTTTAGTGTCACTTTAGCTTGAATTAAGACATTCAGAGCTTCGAGATCCAAGGTGGGACAGATGCCCCTTTGGCTTTGGTAACTATGAATAGGTTGAAGTGAAATCCTTGATGCCTTTCTGCCACAGGAACATGGCAGACTTTAATCCCCGGTTTACCTTGATAAGGGTATTAAGGGAAGATCTGAAGAAACGTTGTCCCTTGAAAGCCATGCAGATCAGATGCTTCTTAGGCACAACGTTGCAGACTTGCACATTAACAAATGGATCTTTTGCCTTCTGCATGTGTACGGACAGGAAACCTATGCGAGAGAAAAGCTGGGAAACCACACCACCCCAACTCATAAACCATCACTTTAAACTGAAGTGTTAAAGTCTCTTAAGGGTTTTTCCATAACTCAGCCATGGTTTAGCACAGTAAATGGCAATGGGACTGTCTTTGTGGCCTTAGGAGCTCTAAAGGATCCAAGACTGGAAACAGCACTGGTAGAAACAACAGGCTGATCCCCTAGTTTCTGAATGGTGTGCAGCCCATCAGAGCAGAAATGGTTTCTAACTTGGGAGTAATAGCAGTGGACCGTGATTCCTCAGGGGCAAGCTCATCAGGCAAAGACTGATGAAACAAAGAATCAGGCAGTCTCAGCAGCTGAGAACTCAGAAGCCACAAAGGCACTCTTGTGGCCTCTGTACAGTAGTCAACAAATAACTGGGTGATTTGGGCCATAAAGTCTGGCACGACTGCATGTGTACTGACAGGAAGTAGAAAGTTAAAAGGAAACCTATACGAGAGAAAAGCCGGGAAACCCCACCATCCCAACTCACAAACCATCACTATCAACTGAAGTTTAAAGCTACAGCCAGAAGTCCCAGGTGGCTCTTTGCGAACAGGAGCAGCAGCAGGGAAATGCTTCCTCCAAGCTCTATGGTGGGAAAGAGAATGCAGAAAACTCCACCCAGTGGACGACGTCAGAGCTCCGTCTCACAGCCTTAACCCCTTCCAGGGGAGAAACTGGGAATTTTTAGAGGCATCCAGCAACCTATGAATTTGAGGTAGCTCCCGGTGCTCGGCCCAACCAGTTTACTCACAAACTGAGTTTTTAGAGAAAGGGCAAGTGCTGAGGCAATGCCAGCAACTCTAGACCTGGAAAGTGCTCTGTCGTAACTCTTACCAGAACAGAATCTGGAAAGTGCCCTATACAGCAGCCAGTGCCCATAGGTCACTTCCAGGCTATCCCCACAATGTTCACTCCAGAGGGGTCTGGATGTGGCACACCAAAAGCAAGGCTAAACATAGCTGTGCAGGATAGCTGCAATCAAAGAGGCAAACTCTAGCAAGTGAGGTAGAGAATAGTCTTGATTAAAAAAGAAAAGAGCAAGAAAAAAAAAAAAAGGTATTTGGCAAAAATAGATTAGTCTTCTGCACAGCGAAGCTGAAGAGAAGACTTTCATCTTCTTAGAACACTAGCAAAAAAAAAATGAAGCATGCTGGTAAGTACGAGGGGTAATATAACCTTAGGTTGACCTATTTTTTTTTTTGTGCCAGTGTCTAATCCTCCAGTAGGTGGCACTATAAGCCGAAAGTGGAAGACTAGCCATTGGGACTGAGATGCCAGCGTTATCTTTGTTTTTAATTTACCTACAACACTGCAACTAATAAGGTGTCTACATCAGCAAACTGTTCCTTTTATGACTTTCAAAATTGTACAAGATCACGAACTCCTCTTAATAGCTTAACATAATTTGCTGCAGTTGTAACATGTCTGCAAACAATTTGTATTTTACAGCATAACCCTTTAAACATGTTTCCCCACCAGATTCATCTCCAGAGTCATCTGTGTCTGCATTCTCTCGGATTTTGCCTTCTTCCTTCATCCTCTCCAGATAAGCATCGTGCTGCTGGTCATCATCTGAGTCTGCATAGTCGTCATATGCTTGCTTCATGCCCTGAGGGAAGAGAAAGTTAAGTCAACAGAGACATATGTAATGCTGGGCATCATGTAGCACAATAACAGCACATCAGCTAAAAGAGGTGATACTGAAGATAAAATCTGTAAGTGCAGATAAATTGAAGGGTTGAGCATCCACGCCTGTATAGTGACCAAGCATAATTGGTGAGATGCAGAATACAAATGGCCTTTAAAGTGAACCTTGCTTGGCTGAAAAAGAACCTAAAAGCAGGGTTTCCCTTTGGATTTCTGTAGAAAGTGTTTCAGGAGAGGTTCCCACCTATTCCACCAGAATAGGCGGCAGAGAAGGCCACAATGTGCCCAGGAGAAGGAGGTAGTCAGGATGGTGAAGACAGAGAATGGCGAGTCCTGAATGTGTGCAAGTTGGACTGTGTTCAGGTACATGGTAGCAGGTACATAGACCCTCCCCACCCAGCTCACTAGCAAAAGAAGATGGAGTTCTTTTGGGGGGGAGGGGGGACTGGCCCTAATTCACCTATTTGCATAATGGAGCTTCCAAGGTTTCATGTGATCATTAACCGGTTGTTTTTTCCTGAAAGTTACTATACCAAGGCCCTTTCGGTTGAGAACTAGAATTTAAGGGTTTCAGGAACTGCAAATCTAAAGGACAGTCATTATCCAAATGCAAGAAAAGAAAGTAAGTATCTAAATATTTTAATTAATCTAGACTTTATAGCACACCAGCACCATTGGGCAGCACACTGAAAAAGTTACATTTAGGAATGGGGAAAGGCACACAGTTATCGTCATTATATCAGTTTACCTGTGCTGTACGTTAAAACGGTTCTGTACATTTTTAGTTTTGTTGGAAATGGATATTTACACTTTTATACATTATTTTAAACATAATAAAACAACATTTTTTAAACATAAAAAATAGGTGAACAAAATAATTAAAAACTCATCTGCAACAAATACTGCATTCACACACCTCTGCCTTTAGACAAATCCATTTTCAATCAAAATGGTAATGCAGAAAGACTGGGCAATGCCAAATGCATTATAATCCACTTTGCATTGCACATTGTGTTATTATGTGCATTGACGTGTTTTTACTCATTTAGATGAAGCATTTATGCTAAAACACAGGTGTAAAAGCAGTCTAAACCTCCCCCCAAATCATATTTTTATAAGATAATTTCCAGCTTATTTAGTACGTCTGCTCTTTGAAAACAGGGGGTGTGGAAATAAAAAAAAAAAAAACTACTTGTTCAAGGGCTAAATCTACTTGTCCCAATACAAAGAAAATGGTTTTAATCAAAACTAGGGATGCACCAATACCGGTTTTTGGGTATCGAGTATGAGTACCGATATTTTGCTTTCGGTACTCGCAGATACCAAGTACCGATAGCGGTGCTTCCGTTGGCATGGAGCAGGCTTTCCGAGCAATCAGGAAGCCGGGCAGCGGGTAATTAAATGCCACCAGGCTTCCTGATTGCCAGGGAAGCATACTCCATGTTATCTGGCTGGCTCGATTATGATTGGCCGGGAAACCGACTTCCCAGCCAATCAGCATTGAACCAGGTTCCCGGCCAATCAGGAAGCCGGGTGTTGAGTAATGATCTGATTGGCCGGGAAGTACTCTGTATTGGTGCACCCCTAATAAAAATCGATCGCTTGTACTACAACATACCGTGTGCGGCTCAAGCTCAACATTTTCTGTATCTTTTATATTAAAAAATAAATAAAACCCCCAGCGATGATTAGATACCACCATGACGGAATAAATGTCAAAGTACTGCAGCGCTGAATACTGAAAAATGGCCCGGACAGGAAGGGCGTAGCTGGAATATATAACAATTTTACTTTTGGGTTTATATATGCTTTAAAAGAGGAACTTTACCCATATCTTTAAATAACAACAAACACACCTTTAGAAATGTTCAGTAATGGCAATCTACAAACATATACTTCTAGATAATTGTAGGCTTTTTATTCCCTGCAAACCTTATTTCTCTTTTCTTTCCCAGTCTTCTGACAGTGGCCATTTTATTCTGGCACATGTGACTAGGACATGTGACCATGCACATCTCAGGGGAAGAAAAAGCCTTTCCCGGAGATGTCGTGAGATTATAAATGAGATTTCCCAGCAATGCTCTGCTGATGTAACCTTTCCAGGATGCAACGCTTTGGCACATTACATAATCTGTGCCAGGAGTGTACCAGGAGTGTACCAGAAAGTAGATGAACTCTATTTGCAAGTAAATAAAAAAACAAATGGGCACCGCTGCAGAGAACACACAGCTTACGTCCGCGTGTTAATCATTTCCAATCTCCTGGGAACGCTATGATATTTTTGGAACATGAGCACTTCAAATGTATAAGTAACATTCTTCCATATTCTAGGGTGATTTCCATAAAAATTCAGATGACACAAATCAACAAGGAGTACAAATATAAAACAACCCTGGCCAATAAAAAACAAAAAACAAAACCTCATTATATTTGCAGGAAGGCAATCACAAAACTACACACACATTCCTAACCACTAACATCTCCACAACAATTACAGCACTATACCCATATTATTCTCAAGTTTAGTGGCATAGCTTTTGTAAAATGCAGTGTTATGCAGTTTAATAATTACCGCTTTGTGAAAGCCTATGGTGGTTCCAGGCAAAATCCCTAGCTAAACCATGTTAATGGCAATTTATAGATCCATTAAGAGCAAGTAGACGGTGTATTCGTGCTTACTTATTTTAAAAGCCAAGCACAAAATAAGCAAGTTAGAATCCCAAAGCACACAAATTGTGGCTTTCAATATCCATTTGGGAGCAGAGGAATTTTCTCCGGATAAGGACTTTTGACAGCATAATTTGTGCCCTAGAGTGAACTCTCTAGAAATATATGTAACATACACTACAGAAACAGGAAGAAGCAAGCTCAGCTTACAGTAATGACTCGAATTCCTCCGGGACAAGGAATACCCACAGAAGAGCCACCGGCTATTTGATAACATTATGACCATGTGTAATTTGTGCCTTGTTAACTAGAATGGGTTTGAATGTTTTAGAGAGACTGTCAACTTGGCCCTTATCTGGGTTCTTACCAGACCACCACAAACTACACAATATTTCAGTTTTTTGCTAGTGTCCTAGGAAGATGGCCTTTGTTTTTCCTGCTGAAAAAAGTAAACCAATTTTTCTACACATTTGTACCATAGCGGTGGAAGCTGGGACTCATTACATCGCTATCCAGATCGGCTTATCCTCGGCACTGTTTTAGAGCAATTGGCGAGTGAAAATTGCGGGGGGGAAGGGGGGCTCGGCGAGTGGAATCTCATTGAGGAGCGCCGCCGGTGGGACCAGAGATGGGACACTACCGCCGTGGCAATTGCTCGCTTCTGTTCTCTCTTCTCATCGGCCACTGTAGCTACAGAGCGGCCGATGAGAAGAGAGAACACAAGGTAACGATCGCCGTGGCAGTAGTGTCCCATCTCTGGTCCCGCCGGCGGCGCACCTCGATGACATCCGCTGTCTTCTGCAGCTTCCTCCGCCCACCTCAGCTGCCAGGAAGACTGCAGAGAAGGTACATGGAGGATCTCTGCACCAACCCCCCTTTTAAGGCCTGGCTAGTAGCTCAGGACTTGAAATTTTGAGCCCTGTTTTAGAGGACATACCAAGACGCCCTTGGACTGAGAATTGTGGTCCTGTAGTGTTCGCCCCAGAGGACCCACCACTGACAGCTTGGATCATTGTCTTCTGCTTGAATCTAACCACTCTTGGTAGCTCTCTCCTCTGCTCTATCCAGGGAGGAGTTTGCCACAGCTATGCAGGATTTCATGAATAAAATCACTGACATGATAACTGGCTCAGAAACGCAGGGACTATAAATGTATTTCTCCAGCCTTTCCTTCAGGATCAGTCTCTGACATTCTTCAAATTCAGCAGCCAAAGAGAATTAAGCTGCAGATTTTGGAGTCTTATTATTTTTAAATTAATATATGCCTGAGGAGCCTCTGTCTGCTGACAATAACTCATTGGCTTAAAGATTCAACTTTACAAAACTCCTGAAAAAATTATTTGTCCCACCTTACTCGGCAATTTTCCATGGCTGTTTACATAGATACATAACAATCCGCAGTGTCCGATGCAGCTGGGACCAGCACGGCGGCTCTGCCACCGGAGATCAGTACACAATCTCCCACTGATGATCTCTCCGGTCCCCAAATGCAGGAAGTGATGTATATTATATCACTTCCGCATTCAGCTGTCATTCCCGGCTACAGAAGTCGGGGAGAAGCTGGTGAAGCAGATCTCTGCTTCATCAGCTTCTCTGGTGGTCCCTAGTTGACATTAGAGGCCTTGGAGACCCCTGATGTCTCCATAAAGAGGACCTGTCACGCAAATTGGCTATCACATAGGGGGCTTCTTAGCCCACTATGTAAATCGCAATAAAGCTGTGTAAGAAAAAAAAAATTAAAAAAGCAAAAAAACAATTCACAAACTATACTGTATATATAATGTCCCATTTAAAATCCCCCGTCCCCCACACACACGCAAATATGTGTCGGGTGCATCTACGTGCGCAAACGATGAATGCACCTATTGTGCCGCGCATAATACCGCAAACGTTAAGTCAGAATAATAATTTTAGGGACATTAATCACGGATTACACTAAACTGACGATTGGTAAAAGCGTTGTCTATGGCCAATTTTGGGTGTGGTCGTTTTTTGCGACATGACCCTGTCTTTTATATTTTACCAAAAAATTGGGGTGATAATAAAATGTTTCATAACATTTCATAGGGTTTTGTTTTTTTCGTCAAAATTTACGGTACTTTTGTTATATAGTAAAAAAAAAAAAAAAACCCAGGGGTTAAATACCACCAAAAGAAAGCTCTATGGGTCCCCAAAAAATGGTATAAAATTCATTTCAGTACAGCGCTGTATGACTGAAAGTCAGTCAAAGTACCGCAGTGCTAAAAACTGAAAATGTACCAGGACAGGAAGGGGGTTTAACACACTGGTCTTTAA